AACATGAGGTTTATGTTTAAAATAAGACCAGATAGCTCTAGCTGCTTTCCCATGCCTGCCTGGTGCTTCTGCAGCCAAATGAACACACAAGCTAGGCTGCCTGGCCACTTCCCATCACTTTAGTTGAAGAACTTGATAAAACGCTTGAGTTTGTGTTCAAATTAGTTAAAAATGCTGTGATCCTTTTTACTGTTCTACTTATAGTTCTGAGCAAAAGGGTGCTCTTATAGAATCATGCCGTTTCTTCTTACCTGCATAACTATTTGTTTTCTTATTGGACCACAGGCCCACTGTGCATTTCTATTCAGTTTACTGTCTGGTTTGACTTGATGTTTATTGGATTTTAAGAGCAAATATTTTAAGGTTTTAGCACCACCAGGACTAAGGTAGAAATGTAGCCTATTTATACTGAGGTATAATGATTAACATGCATTGTCCTAATAAAATAAATAAGAAGGAAACATCAGTAAGTGCATGTAGAAAGAATAATGAAAATTTAGAAAACAATTTTAATGTAAAGCAGAATTTGTGGCTCTTTGAATGTTATAATTAGTAGGAGAAATTGTAAAAATGGATCATTTCATTGTAAAAATGCATAACCCCACCTTAGTTAATGAAAAGGCAGTTGCGTCTTCAGTGGCCACTAGATGGCATTACAATCAAAGAAGAGTTTTCATGCGACAACAGTCATTTAGCTACTAGAATCTCACTGAAATTACCTGGAAGCCATGAAACTACATTAAACTGTAACCTGCTATTGCTATTCTGTCAAAAAGACAAATCAGGATCATAATATTTAGTAATCACAAGCCCGCTGTTGAGCAAAAGCTGCAATTAACTGCACTAAAAACTAAGAGAATATTGAAAATATATCATTCTTGTTAACTTGTATAAAGACTATCAATAATTTCTAGGTACATGTGGAGTTTTCTGCTTAAAAAACAAAGCAGAATTGTAATTTAGTTGGCCGATTTATCTAATCCAAAACTCATCAAAAGTTGTAAAGATGCATCAAAAATGCTCAAAGAATGTGTTATTCTTTCACAACTATTTTGTCCCTAGTTTGAGCAAAAGTCCTGTGTCGTGTACCTCTAGTGTGTGTGTGTGTGTTATCTGTGTTGGGCAATCTGTATTACAAAGCACATTTTGCAACATCAACTCACCAGCTCAGTGGAGTTTATGTGCAACCTAAGTTCAATAGTTCAATAGAAGGCAAATCTAAATGCATGTTTAACAGAAGTATCAAGGGACAGCAATGGAAACTCTTTCATAATCTCCTCTGCTAACAAGCCTTAAATTCACGCCCTCTTTCAGATAGCAGAACCTCAGAATAAAAACAGAGCTGTACCCCCTCTGACTCTGGATTAATATCACAGTCATGGCTGAACTGATCGCATAGAGAATGAACAGAGATGACAAAACCGCCTGATCTGGGCCTTGCCTGCACATTGTTCAAATATTTTCCATGCTGAGTCAATTCCCACACATTTACTCACCCTTCATGCAGAATAGATTATTGTTCAGTTTGCACTTCGTTCCTCAGCAGGAAATTAGAAACAATCAAAGGCCAAATGTTTCTTCTTACCACACCAATGTGACAAACAATTGGAATTTTTTGCCTTCTATGCCTCATCCTTTCTTTTTGTAGGTTTAAGCAAAACATATAGGATTTATGAATGAATGAATGAATGAAGTCATCCATCCATTCATTCATTCATTAAAAAACTAGAATAGTGGGTATTTCTCTGCAACTCATCTTTTGATCTTTTGAAATTTTATCAGACTGCAGGGAAATGTTAGTGGATGGAATATTTGATGAAAAGCCTTTAGTATTGCAGTGGTCAGTTCTTAATTTTTTTTAAAACTATAGTTTCTTTTCTAAATGAGTGGAACAAAAAAGTAAAGCCATTATGAATCATGTGACAGGGACTTTGGAAATCTTATTGCATGAGGAATCATTCATTGACACATGCTGGCTGTTGGTTTGTTAGAGCAACATCTTTCAGATTCAACAGGACATGGGTGGGCTAAGAGGAATCAAAAACAATACCAAGGACTTTTCTTGCTTCTCTTTCAAAATAAAAATTTGGGGGGAAATTACTACCTTGATAAAGCAGTGGTTGGCCAAAAATTCTTGTCAAGATTCCCTGATGAGGATAGACGAGGAAGTTGTTACTTGCTTCGGTTTTCTGAGGAAATGTTGGTTGAGCAATCTTGGTCATCTGATGAAAGTTCAGAAGAGCGCTGCAGTGATGTAAACTCACAAAAAAGGGTGTTGCAAACACGTCAAGGGGTGCTCCTGACATATATGTATTTTCTCAGAAGTCCACACCCAACTCTTGTTGCCAGTAACATGGAGGTTCTTGTCTCCAGACTGTTCCAAGCGGTGTAAGATGTTATGTCATTGTTACAATGGTTTTAAATTTGTACGTCATCAACAAACTCTAAGAGCTGGTTTGTGGTGAAATAGTCAGAAAAGTCATGTGTCAACATAGTAAAGAACCAAGGAATGGGTACACATCCCTGAGGTTCTCCTGGGGTCGGTTTGATTGAGCAATGTTTTTCTGCTGACACATATTGTCTGTTAATTATAAATATACGTCATCACAGTTTTTTTTTCTCTTTACCAAAGAAATTAAACGTTCCCATTTATGCTGACACTGATATAATATAATGCTAGAAAGTGTGGCTTTCTGGATAAAATCTAATAGAAATTCTCACAATAATTAAAAAAAAATATTACAAAACAACATCCCAGTGTTTTTTGGACACTCGGGTGAAGAAAGTGTTGGAGCAGTCAACTGATCACAACGTGGCGGTGGTAAGTTGGCTTAGATGTTGGGGAGGATGCCAGTCAGACCTGGCAGACCTAAACGTATTGTGAAGGTCTGCTAGGAAAGTCTGGCCGAGTCTCCTGTCAGAAGGAGCTTCAATTTCCACCTCCAACAGAGTTTTGACCATGTCTCGGGAGAGGCAGGGTACACTGAGACAAAGTGGGCTATGTTCTATACTTCCATTGTTAAGACAACCGACTGAAGCTGTGGCTGGTTGTAGGTGCCTATTGTAGTGGAAAAAAATTTCCTTACACTGTCATTGTGGCAACCCCCAAACATGCTGGTAGACATGGGCGGTTATGGATGCTACCAAGCTGAAGAAAGAGTCTTATCTAGTCTTTTTGGCCTGTGGGACTCCAGAGGCAGCTGATGGGTAGCAACAGTCCAAAAGAAATGCGGATCAGGTGGTAGCAGAGGCAAAACCCAGGCTTGGGAGGAGTTTGGTGAGACCATGAAGAAACATTTCCATACGACTTTGAGGAGATCTTGGTCCACCGTTTGGCATCTCAGGAGGGGAAAATGGTCACTAACAACACTGTTTACAGTGGTGACGGTGTGCTGCTTACCCCTGTGCGTTGTGGATCAGTGGGCGGAGTAATTTGACAAACCTCTTCAATCCCACTGGCACTTCTTCAAGTGAGAAGCAGTGTCTGAGGACTCTGGCTCTCCAATCATTGGGCCTGAGGTCACTGTGGTGGTCAAAAGCTCCTTGGTGGCAAGGCTCCGGCGGTTGAGGAGATCCACCCCATAATGTAGGTGTTGGTTGACGCGTCTCTACAATATTGTGTTGACATCTGGGGCAGTTCCCCTGGACTAGCAGCCTGGGGTGGTGGTCCCCCTATTTGAAACATGTTGTAGGGCTCAAAGGAACCACGCTAGACTGGTTTAACTCTTATGTCTGACGGGTTTCAGTTTGTTAATGCACATGACAAATCTTCTTCATACTCTAGGGCAGCGGTACTCAAATAGGTGGCCCGCCTGCTATTTCAGCTGTTAAATTTTTTTTCTGTGTTTTTCTTCTCAGACAAAGCTACAAAGGGATTCTGCTGAGCTGTGGTGGCCTCATGGAGGGGGCCATTGGTTGGCACACTGCTGCTAACCTCTTAAATTCTCCCTCTCCTGATAATAACATTTTACTTTCTTTGACATGGAATGCCAAAGAAACATGGACTACATGGACTCAACTAGTTCACCTGTTGAATCTGCTGGGTTCCTTATAAAGGAAACACTCACTAAGTTAAAGACAATAAAGTTTATCTCTTACTAAATACAATATCTACAGAGAAATCACATTGTAGCCATAGAAACTCTACTTGGTATATAAGTTGTGTATGTGTATGTGGGTGTGGGGGTGTGTCTGTATGTGTGGAGATTTTGGGTGGGGGTGTGTGTGTGTCTGCTCTGTCTTCTCGACCCCCAGTGAGTTGTGGCTGAGGGCTGCTTATACTGAGCCAGGATCCACTGGAGGTTTTTTCCAGTAAAAGGGGAGTTTTCCTCTCCACTCTCACTACATGCTTGCTTGCTGGCTGATTCTACTAGCCATTCAGAGGCAGTAGGCGTGAACTTCAGCCTTCCAATCAGTCCAAAATGTCACCTCGGTCCCAGCTGGACCTTCGAGGAAGAGGTCTGGAAAACAGGGTCACCTCAGAATGGAAAACGCACATAGATGTTAAACAAAATTTGCTTCCCAAACCGGTCCGTACTGACCCTTATGTGAAAGCCATATATGCTTCTTGGCTGACCAGGGAACGCTTTAGGATTACTTCAAGGGAGCTGGTCCAAGTGTCTGGGGAGAGGGAAGTCTGGGCTTCTCTGCTAAGGCTGCTGCCACTGCAACCCAAACCCAGTAAAGCGTATGGAAATGGATGGATGGCTGGAACATCCCAGTAAAATAAAATCCATAGACAACATCAAGCTAGTGTGATGACTCAAGCGGCCATCTTGGTTAGGGTGAAATAAAAGTCTTCAGTATAGTCTTTTCATGAATTTTTCAAACTTTTACCTCAAAACAAACAAAAAGGCCTTCATAATGACTTTGATTTTGATGGAAAAGAAATATCAAAATGTGTAATCTAGAAGCTGATCAAAAATTTGCTTAGTGAGAGACATCTATGCATCTTTGAATAATAATTACGAATATTGAAAAAGAAACACACAAAAAAATCATACTTTTCCCCAAACTTGTTGGTTTTTTTATTGTTAATACTGAATATTTTGTCCTTTACCTGGACTTACACAAAGCATCAAACACATGCACAGTCCTCTATTCACACAAAAGTACCCATTTCTCATTTCTCTACACTTTTCCCAGAAATAAAAGACTCATTACTCTCACTCTCACGTTGCTCCAGCGCAAGAGGACCCTCCAAACAAGACAGCTGAAAACATTTGCAGACAAACACACAAAAATCATGACAGGTATAATAATAACACTGAAAAATATAAAGTAAATGAAATCAGAAAGAGTTTACTTTTTTTAAATTATGCATTTAATACTTTATCATATATATATATTGTTCTAGTTATTGTAGCTTGAGGTGTATAAAACAGCACTGTAAACGTTGAGTAACTTGCTTTCTAGGACAGCGATAAAGCTTTCATTTAATAGAGTTGAAAGACGAGTCAAAGCTAACATTAAGCATGTAAAGGACCATCTGCGAGAATATCGTGAAACTGCTGTTTGCATTTACAATTGACAGATAATGAAAGACATGGAAATATCATCATCCTGCAAACTCCTCTCGATTAATCATCCGTACAAAAAATCTGCAAAAACACCCCTAAAATCTAAACCATTCATACATTAACTGTTTAGTTTCTCATTCTAGGAAGTGATATTTTATGTGGCAATGACAAAAATGGGAAGAATTTGTTTGCCTTTTTGATCCCCAAAGCCCTCGGAGCAGAAACAAATCTGCACTCGAGGTGGAAGGTGGATCTGGTAGGCACATGACAAATGTCACATCCGAGTATTCAGACTCTTGTCTTTACTCATCCTCAAAAAGTGCAAATCTAGTTCTAATGCAGTAAATGTTATCAAGTAACAACAAACGTATATGCATAGGTACTGTACAGCTACATAACAAGGGGAGGGGTGAGGATCCAAAGATTAGCAAAACTAGACGGGATACCTCTGACTGACTGAAGAGCAGAGAAGAGTTGGTTTTAATTAAGTGATCGTCTTCACTCCACATAGACTGGTCCAGTGGGGTCTGTGACAGTCACAGGCTTCAGGTAAAATCACCACCAGCAACAAAACAAAAACTAAAGTTCCATCAGCTGTGCAAGATGATGAATTATCTTTTAAAGAAAGCATGATGAGGGCACCAGCTAAGGGAAATAAAATGAAAAAAGCACAACTGAGAATTAGTCAAAAAGAAAGGAAACAAAGATGTGTTTTTCTGATGAGGTAATAAAAGTAGAAATGTGATGAATTTTGAATGATTAGGTGAAGGGTCAGAGATTGTTTAACGAGGCGCAGATTTGTTTGGGGGCTTTTGGGGGCAGGAAGTGCTTTGAATCGCTGAGAATTTAAACCCTCCTAACGCCAGCCTCAGGAGGAAATTACATCATCACTTGACCAGTCTATGTCTCGCAATGCTATTTGATGTTTTTACAGACTGGCTGCGTCTGAGAACAACATTTAAGCCTCATCTGTAATCTGTCAGGTAAAAAGTGGCCAAAATATTATTCTCAGACCAGCTGGTGAATTTTGTTGTGATAGCTTTGCATTTATTAAGCCTCGTGGTGTGCTTTGTTTATTTACTATTTGAATTTCAATTATTGGAATTTATTTCCATCAGGCTGTGCAGTCAATGAACAGAGCCATGTGACTTAAGGGTCCTCTGCATCCAGGAACTCTTTCTTGGGAGGTGCAACGCCGCGGTACCAGGAGCAGGAGCCGTCTGCCCGTTTGACGCAGGCGTAGTGGTTGGCCTGCCGCCCGTGCACCTGCTTCTCGATGATCAGGTCTGTCCACAGACACTCCTCAGGAGCTGTGATCTCACAGGGCAGAGAGGGACAGCGCACGATCTGCGGAAACACAAAAACACCAAATGTCTATGACTTCTACTGAAGCTGCACATAAACCTCAACAATCCCATTTGAGCAAATTTTATTGTTACATTTAGGTCACAGATTGGGATGATTTAGCTTGAATTTACCCCCAGTTTATCCTCATTTTCTTTGTGATTCGTTTGTGTTTGAAACGTCAGATTTTCCTTATAGTCTCAAATTACACAGCGAAAGCTAATTTCTAAGTAAGTCAAAAGCCAAATTTTAGACATTTTTATTTTAGTTTTAGTTTGAGAAGAAAAACAGATTCTTCTCTAGAAAAATTATTACTTAAAATAAGGTAAATATTCCTAAATATTATCTACATTTTCACGTTTTCAGTAAAAAAAAATCTGCCAATGGGGTACGTAAGAGTTATTTGACTAGAATTCTTAGAATTAGCTAATTTAAAATTAGATTATTGTCCTAGTTTTAAGAATAATAGCTGTGCAACTTTTGCTTACCCCATTAGCAAGAAAGTTTGCATCATATTTAAGAATTTTTACCTTGTTTCAAGTAATGCAAATTTTCTAGAGATGAATTATTTTTCTTTTCAGACTAAAAATTAGGTAAAATGTCTAAAAAATAGGCTATTGTACATTCTTAGAAATCTGTTTTTGCAGTAGCTTAGGTCCCCAACCCCTCCTGCTGAAGTGAGAAGGGTGTTAGTCCCCATTTTTAGCCGAGTTTACACTATAGGAGTCACAGAACATTTCTGGGAGGGAGAAACGTGACTGGGTGATATCACGGCTCAGGCCTCTCAGCCGTTGTGTCTCCATACAAAATCAGCCCTTTCAATACTTCTTTTCCATCTTTTCTGATTAAACAGCAACTCATCCAGTTGTACGAATGCCGGTTATTTGGTGGTGTCTGCCGATGTCATTTCCTACTGAATCACAACCAATCAGCATGCGTTAACTGCAAGATACACTCAATGACTCTACTGGGTTTTTCTGAGTCCATACCCCAGTTCAGAAACTGTTAGTCCCTGAAATGCCCTGGAAAATGGTCCTGTTGGAGCAGCCTGGGAAAATGGAAAGACGCGAATGCTGCAAAAGTCCGGTAAAATTACCTGGAAGTTCCGATAGTGGAAACGGGAGTTTTCATTATTTCAAAAGGGGGGAAATGGTCTTGTTATTTAATTTTGCCAATATTCCAGAAGAATATGGCCCTGTAACGCAAGGAAATTGAGAACCCTCGCAAAATTTTCAAGATATTTTTGAAATTGGTGATGGAAATTCAAACTCTTTCAATGAATCGGCTTTTTCAGCTCTCAAACGGCTCCTCGTGTTTTTTGTTTCTTAAATAAATTTATCATCAGAAATTTTACAAAACTGTGCATGAACTGATCTACTTAATCTATAAATATACCTTACATCAAATGTTTATTATTTAAATAACTCATTTTATTCAACATGAAGCAGAGTGCTACAAAAACACATTTTAAATGACAAAAACAAGCTGCGAGTAAAATATTAACTTTGCCAGTTGGATATTTTTGCCCTTTCCATATTCCTCACTCTGCCTTTTAATTGTCACTGTAATTAAAATGTGTCAAGATCTTGATGCCCGTCCTGTTCACTCATGTCCTCACCTTTCTGTAGTGCAGTTTGTTGTTCTTTTCTCCTAGTTTACAAATCTGTCCCCACCAATATTTACAGGTCCCATCGGTTAATGTAAAAACTGTCCCAGGCATTTTGTGTGTGCCACCCCTCTCCCTGCTTTTACAGTGATAGGAGGTCCACTGCAACCCCTAGCTTTAAATGTAACTCAAGTCACACGAGTGAAATAAAACCAGAATCAATCAACAGATTTGGGGAATCAATATGGTTCTGATGACTTTAGACTTGGAAGAAAGATTTACAAAAGCCTTGGGAATCGACTCAGACTTTTTAACTACACTGGCTCATGTTGTGCCTCGTGACTCACAATTTTAAGTAGACGGACTTGAAAATAGTTCAAATCTTAAAGGTAAACATAAAGAAAATTATTTGTAAAATTTAAAAGCAACACAAGACTTAAGATATTTGTAGAATCCAATTTTGCCCATTTTAGTGCGTGACTTGACTCAGGACGTACATGTCTTGGAAATTTATGTGACTCAGGTTTTGTACATCACAGGATTCGTCTTGACTTGACTTGAACCTTCCTTGTGACTTGCAAAACCGTGACTTGGTCCCACATCTGTCAATCAGCAGCTATCGGTGACTGAACCTGAGTCTTTGGTCTGTTTTTGTTCTCTGTGTTGTGTTTAGCTGGGCTTGTTTTGTCTAGATTTGTTCAGCAGGAGCCAATTATCTGCTCTGGATGGATAAGCCAGACACAGGAGCACCTCGGCCTTACCTTACAGTCACAGCCCATCTGGTAGCGCTGGCTCAGGCTCTTCTTCTGGGTGGCACTCAGGGAGTCCCAGGGCATGATGTAATCACACAGGGTCACATGCATGCGGCCACCTGCCTCTGCCTTTCCTAGAAAAGAACAAGCCGTCACGCGGAGCTCCAGAGAGACAATGTCGTGGAGACGCCAGACAAAACAAGATAGGTGTACCAATAACGTTCTGATAACAGCTGATTCATGGGTAAAGCTGATGAAATCTGTTACTTTCCAGACTGGTGCCTACAGGCTGTTCTGGTGTCTTGCTGAGTCTGATTCCCACATATTAGGCAGCACCGGTCGAAACAACACGATATTTAAAGCGGAGTTTACAGAGTGTGCCATCCTCCTATCTGTCTGCAGAGCGGCTCTCAGCATGTTGAAGTTTCTATAACCCACATTTCAATGCAACTTTTCAGCCTCCAACTCAAAAGAGAAGAGAATCATTTTCAAAAGATGCCCTCCTCAGCAGAAAGTCAGCTTCCTTTGCCACTGCTCGAGTTTGCAAGAGGAAACGCTGGCTTCAGCAGTTCCTCCTCTTACAACTCTATGTAATTAGGGGGAAGGGGGGTGATTGTGGGTGCATCTCTGTCTGAGATGGAGAAACCAGAGCACAGATGACCTCATGTTCCTCTGCGTCTCCTCCTCTTAGCGTGCTCTCTCATTCTGATGCCTGTGCTGCTTTAGTTCATTACAGAAGTCTTGTTGAACTCACAGAGTCTGTGGTAGTCGTGTTGCTACTATCCAATTTGAGGCGAGATGTCCAAATATCAGGAAATAAGAGTCCAAACTGCACTTTCTCCTCTAGTTGAAGTCTCTGTGGTGATACACGCGCTTCTGGGCAAAATGACTTTTGCCTATGTCACACTGGAAGCATCAGCAGCACGGAACAGCAGCGGAAAGTTTCACTCGTGAGCTTCAGTGTGGTCCATTACACACCGGGAGAGCCTTGGCTGCAGAACGGTTTCCTCGCTGTGCTCCACGCTTGACTCGCGAGATCACCAATCCCGTCAAAGTTCATGGTTTGTTTATGCAATCCGCCATTAAACCAAAAAGAAGGAAATTATGTTTGATATCGCTGTTTGATGTCATAAATGATGTTCCTCTACACTACCAGGATTAAAGTCACAATAAACACACCAGGGATGTTACACCGAGACCGTGTGTGAGTTCCTGTCTAGCCCTATGTTGATGGCAGATATTTACGTGTCGCTGCAAAAACAGAACCTGATCCGGCGTGGCATGCTGCTTCTGGGGTATGCCTGAAAATTGCCGTGGCACAGCTGGTTTAAAACACTCCCATAGACTACAATGGATTCTATTTGACGCGGTGATATTCCGCTGCTGTTCCATGCTACTGATGCTTCCAGTGTGAAATAGGCATTACAAGGCATTCATTACTAGAGACCAGTGCAAATGTATTGATTAGACGAGTGTTCAACACTTTTAACAATGGTGCTGTGACGTGTGAGACCGAGGAAGGGCTCATTAACTTTATTTTTATTACAAATATGTACATAAATACTAAATTATTGAATTAATAAGGAGCAATGCTGTAGCAGTACTGTATGGTAGTAGAGGTGGGGCTCTGGAATGTTGTATATACATTAACCCTGACACAAAAGTATAATATTTACGTGGTTTTGGTGAAAAAATGGCTCTAAATAGGATATGCTGGTGAACGTTCCCAGTCACCCAGGTCATTGTAATCCAAAAGGGGTTGAATGAAGGCATCAGGACTTCTTTGGTTTCACTTCTCATCCGAGGAACTTTGTCAATTCTGACTGGAATATGGGAGGGTCAAGTTTATAAACTCTAGATGTCTATTGTTATCAGAAACTACCTATGTAAAGACCTACACAACTACAGAAGTGCTCAGCACAACACAGGAGAGCCACCTCTTCAGGTCAACCCACAGCAGTCCACCTACATTAAATAGAGGAGGACTTAGGTTTCACCTTCCCAGCACCTGAAATGCAGCTCTGAACCCATTTCCAAAACAGTTTCGGTCTAGGTCACAGCCTCCTTCATCTAATTGATACAACGATTCCCTAAAAATATCATCAGGAGATAGGGAGGAGGGGTATTCATGAGTAGTTTCTGCTCTTTAAGCAACAACCCTGCAAACAGTCAACATCGCATGAACATGCAGATCATGTCTATATTGAATCTGTTGGTCCAGACCACGTCTGTAGGACGTCCAAACTAGGTTTTTGCACAGTGGGAAAGGACAGCTACAGTCTAGAAGCTTGACTCTCCCATATTCCAGTCAGAAGTGACAAAGATCCTTGGATGAGAGCAAAACATCTTCAAGAAAAAGTCCAGTTGCCTTTATTTGAACCCCTTTTTGATCATTTTAAATGTGATGCTCTGCCCAGCTGATTTAGGCTCAAGTATATGATTTCCTAAAGAGAATATTTTCACATTAATCATTCATGTGAGCCATTAATATAATAACAATCATTAAAGCTGCTTGTAGCTATCAAAAACCAGCCCTGTGTGAATGTGAAACAGCTCCAAGTGTCCAAAGGCAGACACCAGTCCCACCAGTCTCCAGCAGGCTTTAGTCAGCAGTGTGTTATTACCCATAATAACATAAACAGTCACTCCCCCAGCAGGCTCACCAGTGTTTACACCCTCTGCTTTCAGACATGTCTAAATCTTATCAACCTCTAAAATCCTGTCACCTTACAGGCCTTCTGTCTGTCTGCCTCAGAGTTCTCTCACTTCTCTTTTTAGTTCTAGTTTTTCCACCACAAAAATTTAAAACTCACATTTGTATAACTAGTTCTAAACAGCAGCACATCATTTGTAGGAATGCAGACAAGTGAAATGAAATTTAAATACTCAATCTACTACTTTTTTTACTCATTGATTCTCTTCATTTGATTTGAAAGATGCAGAAAATTTTGAGCATGGGATGAAACTCACAATGCTTTTGACTTTATTTTATCTTTTGATAGTTAACGTAAACAGACTTGGTCATGAAGTTGCATAAAATATAGTTTATTTGGCAGATTTAAAAAATATTTCTTTTATTTCATGTAAGATTTTGTCCCACTGACCTGAGATCAGATACTCCTTCTTGCCGCTGGCATCCAGAGTAACACCACAGACAGCAGACACTGGTGCAGTGAAAACTGCCTCGATGTCCTGGTTTGGCCCTTTGAACATCTGAAAGATGAGGATAGAATGAAAGGTAAAACACGCAGACCTTTGACCGTTCAACATCTTTGGATGGAACCCTCGACACGATTCCACAAGGTGGCCCCATTTTGACCCTGGTTCTTATTTACCCTGGACCATCGTCGTGTTTCAGCCCTGGTTTGGATGTTTTTCCTCTAAGCTCTGAGCTACAGGGTAAATCAGGCTCAATAGCCGTGTTTCTACTATAGGAGCTTTGGAAAATTTCTGAAAGGGAGAAAACTGACCAGGAGATACGATGGCTCTGTGTTCTCAGCTGCTGTGTCTCCAGAGAAAATCATCCCTTTCAGGGTTTTGCTGAGACGTTAGTATTTTGCGACCGTTTCTGCAGTGAGTGATGCCACTGATTGCCAAAAAGCGTCTACAGACATTAAAAACATTAAAAGTTTTAGTCTGTTAAAGTGTACCATGATTTAAAACATTCAGAGGACCAAGAGAGCAGCTGTGTGATGTAAAATGTGGCATTTATTGACCAGAAGAAGCGTAGTTTTTTTACAGTGCTCTGTGAGACAAAAGACCTCGTGAATTACATCGTAAGATGTCGCCAACCAACCAGTGTTTGAAAAACTGGAAAAGTTGCTGGTGAAGCGGAATGGAAGGAAAGGAAAATAACCAGCGTTCATTAAATTAGCAAAGTTCTTAAAGGGTTGATTTTGTATGGAGACACACCTGCTGAGAGCCTCCTCGTAGGGTAGAAACAAAGCTATAGATGAAGAATGGCCCCAGAAAAACTACCCTGCTTCTGGTAAAGGTTCCTGAATTAAGAAAGCCACTTTACGTTGCATTTTAATCACATATACCTTGATTTGTTTGACATCATATTGGATCCGCTTGATGGGGTTCCCATAGATATCGTTCCCAGAATCCACCTCACTCTCTCCCACCACTTTTGCACGAATGACTGTTGAGAAAACACAGAAACATGGCTTCAGATACAAACCTGTCAATATTTTCACAGCCGTTCTCCCCATATACTGGTGTTTGGTCCATGAAAGGTGAGCTGAACCATTTCCAGTGCTGTTTGCTTTCTTGTCAGCAGTTGTCCAGTATTTTCTTCTCTGTTTAACCCTCTCAGGCTCAAAATAAGTTCTGATAAAAGGACAAACTAAGTCCTTCAGGGGTACTTCGGAGTTAAAAAATGCTCATGAGATGCGTATGTGGAGTAACCAGGTAGGTAGGTTTTAACTGTTGCAAATCTGCAACGCCTGCCTCCAGAGGGTTAATTGTACTGACACATTCTGCCTTTTACTTTAGAAACACTGTTTTAATACACATGACCCTTGCTGCTGATTTAAACACTCTAGTGTTGTTCTACTGTTTCTATCTATTGCTCGGGCTAACTTGGTCTGCTTCATTCTACTTGGCTGTCTTGAAACTTTCAACATGACATCTGAGAGAAACATTTGCAACACAGATCATCCTAACGTTTAGAAAGCAATTTATTTCTGCGCGATTCTGGTTTTGAGCAACGATACAGATTTCCCATCCTTTTACTGCTCTCACCTGCTGATAGGGATTGCGAGTTTCCATATGGAGAAAAAAATCTTATTATTTAAACCTTTATTTCCCATAGTGGTCTTGAGGAAAAGATTGAGTGCGAGATCGATAGGGTAGTGCTGCGTCTACAGTACAGTGCGTTGTACCGGTCTGTCGTGGTTTACCAGTAGATCTACATTCCAACACTCACCTATGGTCACAAGCTTTGGGTAATGACCGAAAGAACAAGATAATGAAGATAAACGGCCAAAATAAGTTTTCTCCACAGGGTGTGCGGGCTCTCCCTTAGAGAAAGGGTGAGAAGCTTGGTCATCCGGGAGGGGCTCGGAGTAGACCCGCTGCTCCACAATGAGGAGAGCCAGTTGAGGTGGTTTGTGCATCTAGTTAGGATGCCTCCTGGACGCCTCACTGGTGAGGTTTTCCGGGCACGTCCAACTGGGAGGAGACCTAAAGGTAGACCCAGGACACGATGGAGGGATTATGTCTCTCAACTGGCCAGGAAATGCTCTGGGATTCCCTGGGAGGAGCTGGCCCAAGTAGCTGGGGAGAGGGAAGTCTGGGCCTCTCTGCTTAGGCTGCTGTCCCTGTGACCCAAATCCAGGTAAGGAAGGATAAGGAGGAAAATGAATGAATGAATGAATGAATGAATGAATGAATGAATGAATGAATGAAACCTGATTAAAAAAACATTGACATCAACTCTTCTTTCACAAGGGTGTCCTGGAAAGTGCTTTCATGGTTTTAGACTGGTTGATCATTGATTAAGCCAATCACGCTCATTAAAAAGCCAATTCCAATCACTAGATGATTTTTTTGTCCATCACTTATTTGAGCAACTAATGAAACTTTACGTCACTGCTTTACACTCCAGATCTTTTATGCGTGCATGTAAACAGAAACAGATTTAGACTGCTTCTTCATGTTGGAGTCTCATCAACCACAATGTGTTCCTGCTGCTAATCATAAAGCCAGTGCATCCAACATCCTCCCCTAAGTCCTAACCCAAACTTCTGACACTCATCTCAGGTTAATAACAGAGCCCAAACTGCCTGAAGTCTTGTGCACAAAACCCTGAGTTTATGCCTCAGCGACTAGAGCACAACATACAGGTCTGACACACACGGACTTGCTGCTCAAACCTTAAAACCGCTGCTGGGAAACCATCGGGAGACGAAAATTAAGGATTAAGAAAAAGACTTGAAAAGGAAAACTCAGAGAATGACTAGGCCAGGAGTGGGTTTCTCACTGTGTGTGTGTGTGTGTGTGTGTGTGTGTGTGTGTGTGTGTGTGTGTGTGTGTGTGTGTGTTTTACTGGCATGGCTGACTTCAAGCTTCAGCTATGCTTGGGGCATTTATTCAGAACGGAAAATATGAGCAATAAAGGGGGGGGGGGTGCATTAAATAAGCAGGACTAGAACATGCGCGCGGGCGCGCGCACACACACACACACACACACACACACACACACACACACACACACACACACACACACACACACACACACACACACACACACACACACACACACACACACACACACACACACACACACACACACACACACACACACACACACACACACACACACACACACACACACACACACTCCCAGCCCCCTTGGGGTTTAGTTTATGGTTTAGAGCAAATGCTAATTTGAGGCTCCTGTCTCCCACAGTTCATAACGCCTCTTTGTGCCCCCCTTCCTTCCTTATTAAACATTACCGTGCCACACCAACTTTATTAGTTATAGAGAACATAAACACCCAAACAATGTTGTACATAGAAGAAGAAATAAACTTGAAAGAATCAAACTGTTAAAACCTAGAAAATCATTTTAAAAAGGCCGAAATTAAAATAGAAGAAAATAGAAATAAGAGGACTGATTGTGTAATGTTGATTGTATTGACATGGCAACTTTCAAAGAAAAATCACTTTTTTTTAATAACATGACACAGACTGAAAAATATTTGGATGTTTTTCATGTTACATTTGTATAATAAAAAAAAACCCTAAACTAAGGGCCTAACTTTGTGGTAAGGCAGTAGTTCCCAGCCCCACCCTTTAAATCAGCCCATTATAGTCGATAAAGGGGGAATAAAACGTTCAAATTTTTAGAGTTTTTCCGCCAGGTATTTTTTAAGCTGCTCTGTGTCTGGCGCTAGATATCCTCGGCTCTCTTTATGTTTTCGAGGGCGCATTGGCAGCGCTGAAGATGACAGCGACGTCCTGACCATTCACAAGCTTGCGTTATCCGTCATGACGGACGGATGTTTAGAAAAGAGAGCTCGACTGCGTCCGTCCTGGCGAGTGCTTTCCAGCAGGCTTGCAAGGACGGATGATGGTTATGCGTGCATCCGTCCCGACGCAGAAGTATAAATTAGGCTTTAGAGCCTAAAGGGTTGAGGGGCCGGGTGGAAAGGGCTGGCAGGCCAGATGTGGCCTGCAGGCCGCCAGTTGAAGCTCACTGCTCTAGAGTCAAGGTCATTCTTTTGGAGTGTTATGAATGACTCTCAGCTACTTACACACATTTTAGCTCAAGATCCAAAACTTGACTGATTTACAGACATGTTTGTGTTTTCTAATGACAATTAGCTGTTGAGGCTTGACTTGGATTAACTGTAGGCAAACATCCAATAAGATATACTCCCACCCCCCCACCCACACATGCGCGCAAAATTCTTGATTTTTCCCTTCAGCAGTGAATGATAATGAGTGAAAGTTATACATGAGAACTGCTCCTGACAGATTTAATGCTGATAGTTTAAATAAGAGATTTCTTTGATTCTGTGCCTTTAAAACAGGGGCTATAAAATGATTAGCAAGAGAGTTTTTCACTTAGGGGTGAAAAAATATGAAATTTAATCAGCTTGGTGCCTAAAAAAACGGAGCTGAAATTTAATTTCTTGTGTTTATAATTGCACTTTGATGTGAACGTGCAGCAGCCAGAATACACACACACACACACACACACGCACACACGCACACACACACGCGCACACACGCGCACACACACACACGCGCACACACACACACACACACACACACACACACACACACACACACACACACACACACACACACACACACACACACACACACACACACACACACACACACACACACACACACACACACACACACACACACACACACACACACACACACACACACACACACACACACACACACACACACACACACACACAGCAGTATACCTGACTGGCACTCTCTGCTGCATTCCTCACAGTTTTTCCGCTCTCATTTCCTGACCTCATTCTGAGCCACAAACTAATGAGCATTAACAGAATCAGCAGCAGGACGCTGCATTGAGAGAAAACTACCTTGTTTTCTACGATGGATCGCTACTGTAGAAGCTTATCTGTCTACCTTTGTGCGACGGATGGGTCTACTTCCTGGTTTCCTCGTTAGTAAAGCCAGCCTGAACCATCCTGTGCTGTGGAGATGGCAGACTGAACAGTGTGATGCTAAAGCACCGCAATCATCAGGGACCTGCAGGAGGTTATTCCTAAAGTCGTCCAATCAGCAACAGTCAATCGGCAAGCCAGGAACCCTCCACCCATCCCATAAACCACCAACTGACCACCATTACGAGGAATGATGCCTGATGACTTCTACATGTGCATCAGTTGCAGTATTTTCCATGCAGAATCAAAGGCACCCCCTATTTACCGCTCAGCATGGTGGTCTGGTTCTTACGTCATGTTCCTGCGACCAACAAATTATCTCTCACTTTTCTAGAGTGGTTCTTTCTGCTCCAGACGTATGTGGGCTTTCTGTCATTTGGACAGAGACAAAACGCCTTCAAACACAACCCAGCCGGCTCTCAGAGGCCTTGGTGACATCGGCACAGAGACGTGGAATCTCTCCCTCATGAAGGGAAGGTTCAAGAGAACCAGTCCTTAAGACTGGCTTGCTGGATGGCATTAACTCTCATTAATGCTTCTTAATTTGATTGAATTTTTGTATTTAAAAAATTAACATTTTAGATGAGTTTACTCCTCCAGAAAAAGTATGTATCTTTAAATGTTACTGTAGAATGGTGAAGATCAGAACCGTCTGCAGACCCAAACCCTCTTGTGGAAGAGGAAGGGCTCTGGCACACGCTTACCAACATCTCTATGTGTTAACCTGGCAGGAACAGACGTTTCTCTTTATGCGTAACGTAAACACGAGATGACCTGGTAGAGTCACGGCACGTTGCCTCCCAGTGCCTCTCCTCGGTTCAACACCCACTGTCCAACACTCCAACCTGATCTCTTTACCTGATGTTTCCTGGTTATTCCAGAGGGTCCTGACTACAGAAGTGCATCCATAAAAACACCAAAACCTTGAGTAAATGGATGATTTGGCTGGAAAACCAGGTGGACAGCTGTTTTATGTGCCCTCGTGACTTTACTGTCATTTCTCACATATTTCCTTTTTGAAAGGATGCGTAGTTTGCATTTGAGAAGAGACTAAACCTAGTTTTTATACAAAGTGAAGAAATCCTGATCTATCTGAGCTAAAGTACCAAATAAAACTGCAGATATGAGTATTATATTCTACAGATGCATGCATGAGAAATGTAGCTACGTTCATGATGGAAACACGTTTGTGCCTGTGTGCTGTTAATCACAGACTACACAGTGACTCTGGACTCTGGATCATAAACCAGTTTCAGGACAGTCTGACTGGGTCTGGTGGTGGGGGTGGGGAAGTTCCCCTATGTGGGCAGAGGGTTTACTTAGGAAGAGGATGTTTGTCTCAGAACTTGTGTTATTGTGGGGTGGGTGAATGACATCGCAGGACTCTTATAGCTTGTGGTGTGACATGGAGCTTTAATGTGTTTGAAACACACACACACACACACACACACACACACACACGCACACACGCACACGCACACGCACACGCACACACACGTACGCACGCACACGAAACCATTCTACCAAAACAGCTTCTCTATACTCGGGCCATAAAACCAACCAGCTCACCTCTGATTTTTTTTCCCTATTTTCGAGTCAAAAGATCATCTAAACCACACAAGACACAGCCCTGTCCACACCTCCTCACCTGATGGGAGTGCTTCGAATTATCAGTTGCAACTTTATTATCTAATCAATAGCCTTCTAAATGTCTCAGCTTCCAACTATTAAAATATCTCACATTAGCTGCTGCACACATATGCAGCTGAACAGCGATAATGAAAAACAGCCTCAGCTTTTATGGGGGATCAAAATGTAAATTAATATTACTAAAAATAAAACAAAAGCTATTTTTTCCTTTAAATATAATGTTAAATTTAATTGTTTATAAAAATAGCTAATATAAAACATAACATGAAAATATATCTTAATATTCAAATCAGATTAGAATGACTCCAAATATGTGTAAATAAATTGTGAATCTGATAATTTAGATTCAAATCCAAATACAGGCGAGTCTCTGAACAGTCTAACTATTCAAATCAGTTCTACACAAAGTTACATTGAAATGATTCAATCTAAAAACATCGGGCAGTTAACCCAAGCGTTTAGATCATTTGGACTCCGGTTAAGCAGAAATATCTGACAAAACTTAAAACAGGGAGAAGACATGCCCCATCTAATGTCTCAGCGCCTTGGACTGAAGATGTTTGCATGTGGATCATCATACAATATTTAGGCATATTTTAAATAAAAACAAATTTAAAATATCACAATCTGTTGTGGATGGCGAGGACTATTAAACTTGATGATTTCAGCCCTGGCCTTGAAAGGCTTGGACACACCCCTGACCTTAGACTCAGACTTCAGATAGGAGCTCTCTTCACCTTGCCTTCATTTTGGCACAGGCTACTTCCATTCTAAGACAGTCTAGTCAATATTTAGATTTAAATAAGACTTAGAGGTGAAGATGTTACTTTATTTGTCTTTCAATTTTAAATACTTGTTTCCAACCTTATTGATTTTTGTACTTTACACACAACTTTTAAATTTGATAAATAAATGTGGTGAAAAGGTGAATTAAGATTTCACACCCAATCGTATTATTAAAATTAGCTAAATATCACTAAATGTAGCAGTGAAAATGCTAAAAGTGGTTACAAGTAGCTATTACTTTATTCTTTATCCATTTACAGTAGACGGCTCATATTTTTATACCATTTCTAAATTAGTGTCTTGTTATAATTCTAGTGAAAATATTTAATCTCTTTGTAAAATCTGATTTTACTTCTGAAATATCACAGCCCAGATGGGGTTCCTGACCCAACGTCTGAGAACCCCATCTACTCTAGAATTATGAACTTCCACTACCACCAGTTATTGCTGCGGTTTAGCCAATAGTGTGTATTCCCCTTTTGTAAAAGCTGACCAAATTGTTTTCTGACTCACACACATCTTAAACACACACACCTCTCATGAGAGACATCCTGTCTCTACCACTGCCAGCTCAGCAAGAGTCACCTGGGAATAGAGCTGTTGTTTAGCAACATGAAACTACAGAGGTAGTTTCAAGACGTGCATCTTGGAAGTGAGGGAATAGAGTCAAGAGCAGAAATAAAACATGGCGCCACAGAAGAGTGGTCTTTAACTTTCCCATTCTTGAGGGTGCCATGCATATTTTAACCCATCTTTATTGCTGCTTGACCCCAGAAACACACCATGACCTTGTCTCCTATAGCCAGTAAGTCTGCATAGATGGGCATAATTTTTTTTTTGTGGGTGGACATCCTCACACACATTTTTTATATGGCAGTTTTGATATGTTCGTGATTTCTTATTTTTACTGAAAACTGGTAAAACTTTACGCAAATGACGTCTACCGACCATACATTCCGCTGCATGCATGGCAGCAGACCTTCAGGTGTCTGCTTGGGTAGGGAAAGTGTGTGCATGGGTGTGTGTCCCTGTGCTGCACCGGAGCTAAGTTGGGAAAACCCCAGAAACATTCCTGCAATTCCTCCCAGCACCACCCCGTGCAGGAAGAGACTGTAAAGGAATGGAATTTTGGAAAAAAAAAATGGGGTAGAAAGTTTGTGGTGTGACATTTTCTGTGGTTGGGATTTATTCCCCCACCTCCATACTCTCTCCATCCCTTGTCCCTTCTCTTTTCTGGTGCCACGTTGCCCTGCAAAAGCCAGGCAGCTTAAGCCTGGTCCGGGCTGAGGCAGAGCAGTGATGGATCTAGATTTCTGGCTAACAAATATACCCAAAATAAAAACCAGAGGGGATCAAACAGACGCTCCTCTAAGTTTAGTGACAAAAACATATTTGTTTGTTTTTGGAAAGAGGGCGTGTTAATGGTCCTTCATGGTTCACTTCATTTCATTATGAAGTCTTTCTCTGCTTACAAAAAGGAATTTTAAGAAATTAAAACATTAAGATGTACGCGTGACTGCTAACGTGCAGCCTAACTGCGCTATCAGCTGTCTGAATATGGCCTTGGCCCTTTTGGACCAGCACCCCACCACCTCATCAAGATCATCGTCATCAGGCTTTCCAGAGGTTTCCAGCTGCCTCCTGAACCCGCCACAGAGGCTGGCTGTCGGCTGCAGCAGCTCCGGTCAGCTGGTAAACAACAACAACAACATCAACAACAGCCCCCGGTGATGTACTCACCTACATCCGCGTTGCAGAACGCCTGTTGCGGATGTACCGGAGCGCAGCTGCACGCTTCCACGAGCTCCTCCGCGCGCCACAAGAGCAGCAGCGCGAGCGCACAAAGGATGCCGTTAACGGAAAACGGCATTTTGGTAAAGGCAGCAGGGATGTTTTCAGCCTCCTCGTTTGTGTTTGTGCTGCGCAGATGCGTTGCAGAGTAGAGATCCAGCTGAGGCGTCCCTCCCTCAGCTTTTTGTTTTTTTGACCGGAGACGTCAACAATACCGGGACTGTCTGTCCGCTCCGCTGCGCCGTTAACTCAGTGTGATCAGGGACCCGCTCCGGACTGCTGTCAGTAAAAGACTGGCTGTCTGGATAGTGATTTTAGGGATCCAGGAGCATTTATTTAAAGCGGTCTGTGCGACTCCTCCCCGCGGTGGTCACGGTTTCACCGCCAGAGGGCGCTGGTTCCCCCGTGAGGGGCAGCCGGAACTTCATCATGTGCCTAAATAAAATAGGGTTTGTTTTTAAGTTTCAAAGTTCATCAAAAAGTTTGAAAGATTTCGTCAAAGATGATTCCGCTGAGACACAGATCTGTAGTAACGCACTTTGCCCACATTTATAATAAGTTTTCTGCATTTATGCGTAAAACCAGGTGTTGTCTATCAGGAAATTAGGCTACAGTCCGAAATCTGACCCATGGTTGCAGAGGCCTCCAAGCATCTCTTCTTGATAAAGAAAGATTAACTTTATTTACTGTATGTGATGTCACTAAAACCTCTGATGGAAAAGAAACGAGTTTATTACTGATAAAACTTTGTTTATGCATTAATAATACTGTCTCTGGGTTTCTTTTCCTCTCCTCTGCATCATGTTGCATTTTATCTGTCTTTTCTGTCACTGGAGTTTCAGATGGCGCAATTCTGAAAAAACATCAGAATTGGGCATCAAGACCTACAAGGGAAGCTTTTGAGAAACATTATTTCCATTATCTGATCTTTTTTACAGGATTTGTTAACATCTATTGACTAGGACCTATAAATAATCATAGCACTAAACAATTTTAACACTTTAAGCTATTCCTTCAAAAGTGGGCGTAATGGCGCGTTCACATCTGGGCCAGCACAGACCGGACTGGGTCGGTTTGGTCCCGCATCGGTAGGTTTTGTTCAGGGGCAAGAGACACGGAAAAGTCTACGGTGTCTCCCCCTAAATGACTGCTGTGTGTGTGTGTGTGTGTGTGTGTGTGTGTGTGTGTGTGTGTGTGTGTGTGTGTGTGTGTGTGTGTGTGTGTGTGTGTGTGTGTGTGTGTGTGCGCGTGTGTGTGTGTGTTCCTCACTGGAGGGAGGAGATCTGCAGCTTCAGTCAAGAGGCTACTTTGATGTTGAAGCTCCCTCTGCTTGATTCTATCTGCCACTTGGAGGCTCCCTCTAAAAGTAGGTGTGTATTTGAGCCAGCCAATCAGATGGTAGTGGGTGTGTTGGACCTGCTCAGCAAGTCTGCTTGCTGAGCAGGTCCAACACACCCACTACCATCTGATTGGCTGGCTCAAATACACACCTACTTTTAGAGGGAGCCTCCAAGTGGCAGAAAAAACATGGTTGAGCAAAGAAAAATACAAGGCTACTAACACTTTAAATGCTACCCAGTCCGGTCCATGCTGACCCAGATGTGAAAGTGCGTAAGTGACTGTGTGAGTATAAATCATCGATACTGGATAATTCATGTATGTAGGCTCGAATGATAAGGTTTTGTTTCCAAATGCGTTTTTAGCAATAAAAACGTGGTAGAACGACTCCAACGTGAAGACACCTCTGACTTGCTTAGTAATGAAGTCATAACTAAGTAAGCTGACCAAGGATATCGGGCTTCGCTGGTCCACCGTGGTCAGAAAAACGCAAGTCCAGCGTTGTCGACGGTCCTGTGTCTGGGAGACGACACAGCTCCGTGTCGACCAAGCAGTGTTATGGTGAACGCATCGAATTGTCCCCCATTCAGCAGCAAACAGTTGAGCGACTCAAGTGAAGCAGTGTCAACTAAAAGAGCTGCAGTGTTTCTGTGGTCTTCCTCAGAGATCCACCAGTGATCAGCATGACTAGCCTCTCATCGGAGCGGTTCGCGAGTCCTGGCTGCCCCGGGAACCGCCTGCTCTAACAACTGTTCCTGCCGGGCAGGAAATAGGAGAAACTGGGCAGCCGTTCCTTATGCAGCCCCACTGACATGTTTGACCAAGCAGTTAAATTACACAGCATTTCCCCCGATTCAACCAGCGAAATAAAGTAGAGAAACATAATTTTACTTACTGATAAAAAGAAGCAGAAACTGCTTGATCTGTTAGTGCAGTCAATAACCACAGCTTGCCCTCCGTGTCCAAATAATTACATGATTAACATCCAAACACACAGACGACCAACAGTGTGGATGTGTTTACTTTGTGGTTTATTTTAGTATTAGTTAGACTTGTTAGTGTTAGCTCATTGTTAGCACTTGCTTCAGCAGTTGTTTACGAGTTGTAATTCCACTTTCAGCCACTAGGGCGGAGAAGCAGGAAACTGTTTAGTGTTACTTTACAAAGAATGAACGGATGTTTTTATGAACACAGCAGCTCAGCAGACTCTTAACTAGATCTTTGGCTGCTTGTCATGAAACGACACGCCAACTTTCTAGTCAATCCTTCAAAATACACAAGAAACAACTAAGTTATACAATAAACTGTATTGAGCTATCAGCTGAAAACTACATCATGGCTGCACCATTCAAACAGGATCTACTTTTCAACTTATTTTTAATACATTTAGGATTTTTACCGGCTAGTGGAGCTCCATAAGGTATTTTAGCTAAAACATTTTTATTTAGTGATCATTTTTCAAGTTTGCAGTAAACTGGCAATCCATCCTATGTATGTGAAAATGAACATGCCAAGCAAAATCCTTTTCCCTTTGCAACTGTTCGTCTAGATTTCTAGGCTAGTAATCTAGGGATTAGGATTAATTAAAAGCACCAAACTTCAAAATGCATATTTATAGTTTTAGAAAGTTTTTCATGTTCTGATCATCTGTGGAAAGATCCAAGTCTTACAGCAGCACAATAATACCACTAAAACAGTGGCAAATCAGGTAGTCTAAAGAAAGCAATAGAAATATCTTCAAAAGATCTGAAGAACTACTAATCTAAAGATTTTAAACAGAAATGCAAAAGTAACAAAGGCTTCTAGAAGAAACAAATATAAGAATGAAAGCAGTTTGGTTTTTTCCTCCAATTTCTACAAAAACTGACATTTAAAACAACCTTCCTAACAACGGAGCACAACAATATGCATGCTATGAATACATGAAAACATAACAAAAAACAATGTTTTAAAACTCTGGCTTTATTCCAGCTGAGGTCAGAGTTCACACAGAGGAATAATCAGGCCACCATTTCAGATAAATCCTACACATACCCCCTTACAGGCAGAAGAGGGCAGTAGCTTCCACCACAGTGACTTTAAAGACTCGAGTCTTTTTTCAGGTCATGAAAGAACAAAACTGAACCACAGTCCAGCGGCATGGCTCCTGCAGCTTTATAGAAGGCACAGACTGAAGGGAGAATCAGCAGACCAAAGGCTCACGATCCAACAAAAAGCCAATGAAAACAGCTGAGTTACATAATGAAAAAACAAAAAACACCTAAAACAGATTTAATCTGGCAAACATGGTGTTCCTGAGAGGAGATCATTTGGTTCCCAAACAGAAGCACAAAGTGACACGAGCACCCGTCCTGTTCAGAGGAACAATTAATGCAAAACAGAAGAATCAATCAGATAAAAGAGAACAAACATCTCGCAGCACATTTAGAAAAGAAATAAAAGAAATCTGGCATTTAATCATGACTAGCTATTAAAAACGATGACACATTACATAAACACACACACATGGTGCAATGTGTGTCACTGAGCAGCCCGCTGGCTCTCAGAGGCCTTTGTTGAAGTAAACTTGTTTCACTTGGTCTCCGTACTGAGACATGATGGAGTCTCTCAGCTCGGGCTCCAGCTTCGACACAGCCATGGAGCTGCAGGAGGCAAACAGGGAGATTAAAATAAAGAACAGATGAAGATCCACTAGGAAAACAACCTTACAGGAAAGGAAAATGACGTTATTAGCAAACTCATCAGATAACTGTTATTTGCCCGGCTGATGTATCTGGCTGATGTTTACAGTGTTTTTTATACTTTGGTATTTAAAGTCAGGCACATCCTCTGGCAGCTCGGTGCTGTTGCAGAATTTAATTTGAATGTATTTTTGTTGACTAAATACATCTGCATAAAATACTCTAAATTAACTTTATTTAGGTGTCAAACACTGAGCAGTGCACAAAGTTCAGACTTCACACCGATTCAGCTTTGGAACTTTTCTGCATCAACTGAAGTTATTAGCATGAAAATATGATGGAAAATGTCTAGATATCAGCCATCGGCTGACCGTGTCTCCTACACATCGCCTCGGTATCTGCAATAGCAAAACCAGTATCGGTCTACCTCTAAACCTAGAATTATAAAGCTCATAGGAACAAATGAGCCAAGAGCATTAAGATAAAATGTTCTGATGTTGTCTTTTCATAATTGAATGACAGTTTGTACTGGACCGAAAACCGGATAATAACTTTGCTAAATACTTCATAGAGAATAACAAAGGTTTATCCGTTTCTGTCAAATTCATGCCACCTGGGTTGGGTTGTGAGGTCCTGTAACAGCCTTCAGAGAACCAGCCCAGATGTGCAGAAGGGCAAATCAGGACTATTATCCAAAACATGTCTGAGTTTAATTCTGTGGGTTAAAGAGCATAACTTACAGCTTCATCTAAAACTCATCTAAAGACCTTTTAATCATCAATACCCTTTAAATCTAACAGAGAAGTGTGTGTGTGTGTGTGTGTGTGTGTGTGTGTGTGTGTGCAATGGCGGTTTTAAACGGGGGCCCACAGGGGCCTGGGCCCCTGTAGAACCGGCCCTGGCCCCTGTTATGGCCCCTGTGCTGAAGAGATCGGATTCCCCCCCCCCCCCCCCCCCCCCGCGCGCGCTGCCTCGGAGACGGGAACTAATGCGCTGCAGCGTTTCACACGGAGCCTTTAAAGCGCAGCACGCTCTGTGGACAGAACTTTACGCGGTGGATTTTTGAATGAAGGATTAAAAATAGTTTAAATAGGACCCGAAGAAGTTCTTGAGGACTCTAAACGGAAAAGACGCTAAGAGACGAAGGTAAGCAGTACAGTTTATTTTCCTGACATCAGTATTTTGATCGTAGTCGCGCGTTTCTGTCATTTACTTTTAAGTTCCTAACCGAGTCTATCCACAGTTAATACTGATTTGTTTTTCCTTTGTAACATTAACTGTAAAATAAAAATGAAGTTGCTGCATTTTAAGCCTTAGACACGTTGAGATTAGATCCCAGTATTCATTTATCTATGACTTTCTCGCAGCACTGACTGGAAGCATCAGCGGCCATGAAAAAAAGGGACATTTTGTCCTTTTTTACCGCTGTTAGTAAAGAACAGCATAGACAGAGAGAGGATGAAAGTCAGGAGGGAGATGAGAAGCAGGATGAAAGAGAGAAGGAGGAGATGGTTGGAGAGGAACCAGAGAGGTCAGAGGCTGTCCACCCTGAGAGTGAGGAGGAAGATGTAGGCTGTGAGGGAGAGAGTGAGGAGCAAAAAGAGGGACATCTTCGGTCATGTGCACTACCGTCAGGTTTGTGGGTGTTGAACAACCCCTCTGTGATTGCAGCTCATATTGTGTGTAAAATGCATTTGAGGCATGCTGACTCTGGACCAACATTTCTGTTGTTTATATTTAATAAATAGATAAAATAAGACTCTGAATTAACTAATTATGACTTTTATCCTCATGCTAACATTTATTTTCTTTCAGATATCAGCAAGTGCAAAGATGACCCACCTACTCAGCCTCATTTGAGGACATTTCCAGGGACATTAATAGGAGACAGAAGACGCAGCTTTCAGCCAAGCTGGTATGAAAGTCATCCTTGGGTTGAATATTCGGTTTCAATGGACTCTGCTTATTGTCATGCATGCAGACATTTTAGCCCACCAAGTAGCGCAGGAAGTGTGTTTGACTCTCAGTGTGGATTTAGAAACTGGAAAAAAGCAACTGAGAGAGGAGGGGGGTTTTCAGTACACGCAAAGTCTGAAAGGCATAAGGACTCAATGATAGCGTGGAGGGACTACCAGAGGGCTGTGAAAGCTAATACAACATTGGCTAATATACTCGACAAGGAACACAGTAAAAAGGTTAAAGAAAATCGTGAGTATATCAGAACAATTGGTGAAGTGATTTTGCTTACAGCCCGGCAAAACATAGCACAGAGAGGACACAATGAGTCTGAGGAATCAAATAACAAAGGCAACTTCAGGGAAATTCTTGAAATGGTTGCAAATCATGATCCAGCTGTTAAACGTAGACTCACATCCATTCACAACGCAAAATACACAAGCAAGGTCATTCAAAATGAGGTTCTTGATTGTTTGGCAGAAATGGTACGCTCTGAAATCATTGAAGAAGTGAAAAGCAGTCAGTATTTCAGCATCATGGCAGATGAGACTAAAGATGTTTCAAAACAGGAGCAGATATCATTCATACTCAGGTACTATTATGATGGAGCTATCAAGGAAAGTTTTCTCCATTTTGAATCTGCAGAAAGACTAGATGCAGTGGGCCTTACTGAAAAGATAGTGAACCTATTGGAACACCATGGATTAGACTACAAAAACCACCTTATAGGCCAAGCATATGACGGTGCTGCTGTAATGAGTGGTAAGCATTCTGGGGTCCAGGCTAAAATTAAAGAGACAGCTCCATTTGCATTTTACATCCATTGCAGTGCCCACTGTCTCAATTTAGTATTAGTTGATTCTATCAAAGCAGTCCCAGAAGCAGAGGAATTTTTTGCTCTGTTACAGAGTCTCTATGTTTTTACTTCTGGCTCATATGTACACCCCAAATGGCTGGCTGTGCAAAATGAGATGTATGGCAGCACAAGAGAGCTACAAAAATTAAGTGACACAAGATGGGCTTGCCGATTCATTGCTCTACGCAACATAATGGACAGATTACCTGCCCTAAAACGTGTCCTGCAAGAGACTGCACAAGAGCGCAGGGGAGAAAAATCTTCTGAGGCTCGAGGTCTTCTGGCACAGATTGACCTAGAATTTGTTGTGCATCTTGTTACGCTCCGTACATTGTTCGGGGAAACAAAGCTTCTTTCAGATATGCTGCAGTCCTCAACTGTTGACCTCTCAAAAGCAGCCGATTTAGTTGAAGGATTGGTGCAGACTTTAACAGATTTCAGGCAGGAGTCCTTTTTTGACAAGTTGTGGGGGGAAGTACTGAACATTTGTGAACAGTGTGATGCTGCCACACAGTCGGAAGCAAAACGACAGATAAAAACAAGCTCCAGACTTCGTGAGTACCACATACTAAGCTCAGTTGGTCAGAGGGAGCTGGCCTCTGACAAAGAAACTTATCGGTCTTCTTTTTTTTATCCTGTCATTGACTGCATGCTAAGTGAACTGAGCAGACGTTTTTCAAAGACCAGTTGTGAGCTGATGAGCAGTATTCGATCTCTTAACCCTAAAAGTGATGCTTTTTTGAAAGACACCACTTTGTTTGAGTTTGGTCATCTTTTTGATGCTAATATTGAGGATCTGGGGCATGAACTGCATCAGTTCAAGAGACTTTTGGATAGAAAAATAAAGACTGGTGTGGTTGAAAAGCTTTCTGATACAGTGGAGTTGATCCGTTTCACAGAGCCATACAAGGAGGTATTTTACGAGTTCTTTAGACTGTGCAAAATCGCAGTTGCACTCCCAGTAAGTTCTGCCTCTTGTGAGCGGAGTTTTTCAACATTAAAAATAGTAAAAACCTACCTCCGGTCTACCACTACAGATGAGCGCCTTAGCAATCTAGGGGTGCTAAGCATTGAATCCAGAAGGGCCAAGGCTCTGAACCTTGAAGCATTTGTAGACCGTTTTGCAAGACAGCACAAACGTAGAATACTGTTATTGTAATGGGACATATTACTGTGTGACCAATTACTGTGTCACATCTTGATGATGATTTATGCTGTAAAACTAAATCAGCACAAACTTACACAAAAGAAGTGTGTGTGTGTGCGTGTGTGTGCGTGTGTGTGTGTGTGTGTGTGTGTGTGTGTGTGTGTGTGTGTGTGTGTGTGTGTGTGTGTGTGTGTGTGAGTGAGTGAATGTTTATTTTTCATATGTACAGTTCATGTGCAGATATTTTATTTGTTTGAATGTTTATTTTTCATATGTACAGTTCATGTGCAGATATTTTATTTGTTTGAATGTTTATTTTTCATATGTACAGTTCATATAATCTTCTAATAAAGTCACAAACTATAATAATTGACTAGAATTGTTTTTTTTACTCAAGTCTCATGTTACTGTGAAGCATTCAGAATTGTTATCTGAGTACCATAAAAACATGCCAGTTTTACTTTCACAAGTAAACCATTACTGCATTTGCCGTAATAGTTTACTTGTTCATTGTCTTTTATTATGATTTTTTTTTCTTGTGCCCCCATGAAAAAATACTGGCCCCACTGTGGCCCCCCTGGAAAATTTGGTCTAGAACCGCCCCTGTGTGTGTGTGTATGTGTGTGCATGTTAAGATGCTACAGCCTTGTCCAGGACAACGACAATGAAAATTTAAAATAGTCAATAAGTCAGACGCACGTGTGGGTTCCACAAAGGAGCCTCGAGGGTTGAGAATCAGCGCATCTTCAGAGGAAAGATGCTCCACTTCGCCCCCGTTTCACCTCTGACAGAGGAATTTCAAAACTTAAATCTTTGTTTTCATAAAGTAGTCTCTTTCCGGAGTATTTCTCTTATCTGATGGCACCATCTAGTGGCTGACAAGGATATTACACAAATCATTTCTTATTCAGCTTTTTTAAGATGACGACTTCACGTTTCTAGTAGGTGCCTCTGTAGCCGACAGAGCTAAAACACTTTGTTTTACAAGTATTATTCTCATGT